GGAGGACTGCGCGGCGATGCGGTGGCTTGCGGGTGATCTCAGGTGGGAGCGTATCCTCAGGACGTCGAGGCGGACGACGGCGATGTGCAGCAGGTAGAGCAAAGAGAGCGACCAGAGGGCGAGCAAGGTGTAGAAAAACTTTTCTCTGATAGCGAATAGGAATCCTGGAATATGCTTATGTACTAGGTCATATAGAACGTTGCCTTCTTTTACAACTTTCTCTAAAGTTCTGCAGAAATCCTGACATGTGCGCTTCATTTCCTTCCTTTTCTCACCACTCAGTCCATGTGGGCTTTTAAAAGTGAAGCCGTATGCATACAATGTCGGATGTATATTTTTGCACTTAACAATGGATGTGCATCCATCTTCATGATTTACATCCTTGAGTTGTTTGGGAGTATTACCAGTGCCGTAAGAAAAATTTATTTTGCACTGTGAATCACAGCATTTGTCGTAGCACCTGGTGCCTGGTTTATTGCACTTTCCACAACAATCTTCATATAGTTTTTTAAGTAAGTCATAGAACGTTTCTGTTATATATACAACCCATGAAAGATAGTTACCAGAGTGCTTACCGGAAAATGTATCACAACATTCAAGAGACAGAGGCTGTAGGTATGGACCGCAGGGAACAGCTGGATTCTCATTTTTATTGCATATGATGAGGCTGAACAGATCACCATTTTTATGCGTATTGCTAGAATGACTATCGTATTGATGAATGAATGTAACGTCCAACTTTGTTTCCTTGTTCCCAAAGTTGGCCTTTCGGACAGCTTCATCAAATGCAACACTCTTAAGCACCGAAGTTTTCTTTGTGTCACCCCAGAACCTGAGCAATCTATGGTAAAACGCTAGCATATCACCAAGCGTCTGCGGTGCTACGCGGAGCAGGCAGTTGAGGTAAGAACACAACTTATTGAGTTTAGAATCTGGACCGCAGAAATGTTTGAGTTCACCAAGTAGATACGCACCTTTCTGTGTATGAGAGGCTACAATACCAATATCTGCAAAACCCATGGGAGTAAGACATGGTTTACCAAAGTGATTGCCTAGGGAACATGTCAGCTTACAGCCAGGTGTGGTAAATGTATGCGGTAGGAAACCTGGAAGGCCTCCAGGAAGGACTGAAGGGTGATTTAACACCGCATTTGGGATGTTGGTTACACTTTTGGTTAGTACCTTGGTTAGCACTTTGGTCAGCACGTTGGTTAGGTCTTAGGTTACACTGTTCGTTGGGACACTGTCTCTCATTACAGTCCCATGATGAACCACCCACATATCTGCCATAGTGGCAGTCAGCCCACCCGCCTCTAATACGGCTGTTGTTACATTGTAGGTATAGGAAGTATGTTTGTTGACACACTCTCTTCAAAATATCTACAAGCATGTCTAAACACTGTGATGGAGCATATGGATACAATAAATTATCGATGTTTGTGCGGAAATCGCAGGCGTAACGGCCATCAGGATGGCCGTGACCTAGGATGGCGGTTAGTGTAAGTTGCGAGCGCAAACAAACTTGTTGGAGTGGAGTGTGTAAATCACTAGCTTTAAGATTTTCAGTTTTTGTGTGTTTCTCTCTGTCTGGTACGACAACAGCTAACTGCTTGATATCCTTATCAAAAAGTCCATTAAATTGTTCCTTCACCTTCTCGTACATCGGATTGAAGTACAACCCGGACAGCCAACACATCATCTGGTAGATATTAGACGGCGGCTTGGGAATATCGATATGAATATGCTGGCATACTTCATAATACTTTCGGAAAAGATAGCGAAGGAAATCGACAAACTCGATGAGAGAGATGTTATTCTGCGTAGCTTCGGAAGAAGTAGGAATTGCCTTACCAGTGGTCCACTCATAAAGGGATTTAATTCCGGTAACGTTGATAGATTTTTCATTGAGAAGTTTCTCATTTATTATTTGACCTTTCATGTTCTCAGATCTCTGTAGCTCACCGTCCTGCTTGTCCTTGTCGGTCGCCACATTGAAGCCTCGGGCTGCGAAGGCTGTTCCTAGGGCATTTTTAATTTGTTCCGGTTGTGCTCCACTTTTACCCGCAGGGGCGCCAGGTTTATTAATTAAACCGGAATGAATTTGCGTAGTCTTATTGTTATTACTTTCTCTACTTAAATCGCCCAAATGTTTTTGTACCCCGTCCATAATAGTAACCAGAATTTTGGCGCATCTCATTGCGTCTTCGGATGGTTCACTTGGTGGAGCGGCAGGCGGAGCTGGCGCTGGTCGGGGAGTAGGAGTTGCAGTATTAGTAGAGGTTGAAGTTGTAGGGGATTTTGGCTTATCCCACGTTACCGTTTTCCCACTGTATTTATTCACGTACGCGTGTCCGAGTTGCTCGGTGAATTTGTGCATGCCGGACCTGATGGCGTCGAGGAGCAGCGGGTTGTGGGAGTAGTTAAATCGCTTAGGTGAAAGATCGTTAAGTTCATTATTTAATGCATCTAGATTAGTACTAAATTTATGGCTAAAATGCTGAGTATTATGAAGGTCAGTGAGTAATGTTGTTAGACGTTCATACGAGTGCTTCACTTTCCCGAAGTGAAAAGCAAAATCCTCTTGATGTTCCAGATTGCCGAAGAAGAATTTAAAGGCATTATTAACACCTTGTGCAGCATCTTTCAGTGGATATTTTGGAACAAATTTAGATGTCTGGATTTTACCAACATACTTTTCTTTTAATTTCCCCAATAAACCCTTCACGCCCGTGACTGCGTCCCGCGCGATTATTGTTTGCACGGCTTGCAGTTGCTGGTCGACGAGCGCGCGCAGGGCCTGGAGGTCGGCGATGTGGGAGGCGGCGAAGAGGGAGCGGATTTCATCTGTTACTTTTTGGAAGGCATTTTTGGTGGCTTCTAAGAGATGCTGTTTGAGTTTCGTGATCTCAGTGATGAGAGTGTGACGTGCGTTACTGTACACGTTGTACAAGGCGGTGATGGCTTGCGCCAATGTCTCGTCTGCTGTGTTGACGGCCAGGCGTATGACGTGAAGCTTGTCCTTTATAGCATCCTTCAACTGGTCTATTTTTGCATCGGCTTCATTCTTCACTTTTTCTATGCTTAGTGTTTCATCTTTATCCTTTATAGAAATTTTCTCAAGCTCATCAATAACATTGCTCTGTATTTCCGTAATTTTCCTGTCAATTAAACCTGTCTGGGGATTTTTTATATATTCTTCAAGTTGTTCTAACTGATGCTGTAATAGCTTTAATGCTTCGGCAAGCTGCTTTGTACATCCTCCGTTGTCGCCAAATTTTTTAATATCTTCATACACTTTTTTAGAGGCAGCTGCAATTGCTGTACTGGCGACTTTTTTGATGCGCTCTTTAGCGTTAGAGTTGAAAGCTGCGATGGCAGTAGAAAGATTCCCATTATCGGCTTCACCGATTGCGGCGGTTAACTCAGTGAGATGCTTAGCAAGAGACTTCGGTTGGGGTTGATCGGATGATTTTGCGCCTGAACCGTAAACAGCATCTTTCAAATTGGTTAGGGTATCAATTTGTGCGACAGCACTTGATAATGCTCCATTAGTGGATGATGTATTAATATCACCATAGGCTTCCTGAACCGTTTTCTGAAGTTCTTCACTCAGTTTGTTAATTGCACCTGCGACTTTGTCGACTGCCCTGTTAAAGGCCATTGCATCGACAGCAGTTCCACCGCTAGTTGACAGAATATTATACCTCCTTGTAATCATATCGGTTTCAATATTTAATTGTCCTACTAGATCCTGAATCTGAGATTGAGAAGACTGGACAGTGAGTTGTTTTGAATTTGTGACCTTTTTAATGCTTTCCAACTTCTGAATCTTTTCACTCAAGGAAGTGGAATACCTCTGTAATGCCGACTTGAAATCTCCCAATTTCGCCGATCCAAGCGAGTCCGCAAAATTATAGAATTTCTCTTTAAAATCGCTCTCATACTTCTCTCCAAGCAACTTTGAGGTCGACGCAATTGGATCCGTCGTCTCCTTAAGTTTATCCAAAGCCGCCTTAAGCAACTTCAACGCACCACTAACAAGAACATTATCGTCACCAATGCCATTTTTAAGCTTATCAATCTCCTCCTGCAACTTAATCAAATCCGCTTGGACACACTGTTTGACGCTAGCTGCAAAAGTTGTCGACAACTTTTGTAACTTCCCCTGCATTTCGCTTACTAATTTCTCAAGCTCTGCTTTTTTGTCGAATAGTGTATTGTAAACCTGACTAACGTTGTGCTTTATAGTATCAAAATGGTTCAAAATGTCTGTCTTATAATTCCACTCAAATTGCTTATCCAGGAATATTTGCGCATTATTCAATGCCAACACGATACTGTCAATGTGGGTACGCCGCGCTTTTTTAACCTTCCTAATGTTCTCGAAAATTGCGTGAAACATATTTTCTATGGTGCTTTTTACATGGTCACTGCCATGTATAATAGCATTTTCGACATATTTCCTCTGCCATTCTAACTGGCCGTCGACATCCTTGGCCTGATCCACCACGAATGGATTCCCAGCCACCCTCCCCAACTGCTCCACCACCTTTCGCACGGGCTCTATTTCACGCTTTATCTTATCGCTAAGTGCGGGGTCTAATCTATCAACATTAGTGATTATGTTGTCGTTAATGTGATTATTAATGTCTTCCACTGTCTTGGTCCAGCTGTCCAGTTGCTCCTTGAGTGGCTTCTCTGCTTGACTTGAAACACTTGTAACATATTTACCTGAATCAAATGATAAATCATCAAGTAACCTACCTAATTCAAATGATACTCCTGTAGTCCTGTCATTCACCTGCGTCCAATATTTTTGTAACCATCCACTCACCTTTTCAACCTGCGCACCAAAGACACTGCGTCCCTGGCCAATTGAAGATTGGAGATTTTGAAGGACAGTATGTAAATCATCATAAATATTTGATGATTTAATGTAATTATTGTATGTTGTAACGTTATCATCTTCCTTCACACTCTCAAGAACTCCATGAAGGAAAGACATCACCCCGTCGCACAGCCTGTCAAGGTCCGAGTACACGATGCCTTCTCCGGTGTAATTACCATCCTGGTAGCCGAGAAATTTTTCGAGGCCTGTGCAGAGGTTATTTAATAATGCTGTTGAAGGATTATTTTAGGCACATTTTCAGGGCGATTTGGGGGAATTTGGAGAAAGGCGATTTTGGGTCAGGGAGGCAGCGAGGGAGAGAGGGAGTGGAGGTGGGTGGACAGGGTAAGGGAGGTGAAGGGGCAAAGAGGGCGATGAAGGAGGTAGATGGGTTGAGGTGAGGCGGTTTGGGAGGTGGAGGGAGGAGGTGGAAAACGAGGATTTGGGTGAAGGGCGCCGACGGAGGAGGTGAGTGAGTGGGTGAGTGAGTGAGTATGTGAGTGGGTGGGTGAGTGGTTGGGTGAGTGGTTGAGTGAGTATGTGAGTAGGTGGGTGAGTGAGTGGGTGAGTGAGTGGGTTAGTGGTTGGGTGAGTGGGTGGGTGAGTGAGTGAGTATGTGAGTGGGTGGGTGAGTGGGTGGCTGATACACAGATCACAAGTGAAGGCACGATTATGGTGAGAAGTACTTGACGTTGGCGAGTGCCTTGGCGCGTGCGGCGGCGAGGAGGGACTGTGCGGCGATGCGGTGGCTTGAAGGTGATTTTAAGTGGGAGCGTATCCTCAGGACGTCGAGGCGGACGACGGTGATGTGCAGCAGGTAGAGGAGCGACAGCGACCAGAGGGTGAGCAAGAGGTAGGAGAATTTAGATCTTATGTTCCATAAGTATTCAGGTATCTTGTTAATTACTAAATCTGCAATCAGTGATTTTCCATGGCATACATTTTCCAGCGCCTCGCATAAATCTTGACATGTGCGTATTTTATCCTCTCCTTTTCCACCGGATAATTCATGAGGACTACCGAATGTGAAGCCATATGTATACAGTGTTGGGTGCGTATCTGGGCACTTCAGAATTGATTGGCAGTCATCACGGTGCTCCTGAGTTTCTAGTTGCTTGATGTCTGCTCCATCAGTATACTTTACTGTGCAGTCCTTACCACATTTCTTACCACGGCAGTTGATGCCCTGCTTATTGCATTTATTACAACACTGCTCACATAGTTGTTTAAGTAGATCATAAAACGTTTGGGTAAGATATACGATCCACGACAGATAGTTGCCGGCATGCTCCTTAGAATATACCGACCTGATGTCTTCACTTATTGAAGCTAAATATGGCCCGCAGGGCAGGCCGGATTCTAACTTAGAATCACAGTCTGTAAGACTGAAGAGATCACCTTGGGAATGCTTATCAGAATGCGACTTGGTGCCTTGTATGGACACAAAGTCCAGCTCTGTTTTGGCGTCTCCGAAGTTGGATTTTCTGACAGCTTCATCAAATGCATCTTTTTTATGCTTTCTTCCCTCGACACTATAATTCTGAAGGAATTGGTAGTAAAACGCAAACATATCACCGAGTGTTTGCGGCGGTCTGCGAAGTAGACAATTGAGCTGACAACACAGTTTACGGAGGTCAGAATCTGGACCGCAGAAACTGTAAAGTGCTTTCCAGAGATAGACACCGTCCTTTGTACGCGAAGCAACTGTACCAATGTCTGCAAATCCCATGGGAGTGAGACACGGCTTGCCTCTATGATTGGGCACAGTACATTCCAGCTTACAACCTGGCTTCGTGAACTGATGTGGCAGGAAGCCTTGCAAACCGTCTTCAAGGAACGACTGCAGTGGTGATTTGATGCCGCACTTGGGATGTTGATTACATGGTTGCTCGCAGTTTTGGTCAGAGCTTTGGTTTCCGTTTTGGTTCGCTATTTGGTTGGGGCACTGCATGGTGTTGCAGTTCCATGATGAACCGCCAACTCCCTGGCCATAGTGGCAGTCTTGCCAACCACCACGACTACGGCTGTTGGAACACTGGGTACATAAGAAACGCAATTGATAAAACACTCTATTCAATATATCTACCAACATGTCAAAACATTGACCGGCGTTGCTAGGGTACGACAAACCGTCGGTGTTTGTGTAAAAGTCAACGGCATATCGGCCGTCAGGATGGCCGTGGCCTAGAAAGGCGATCAGAGTGTCTGCGGAGTCTAAACACACCAATCGGAGTGTGTCTTTTAATGTCTTTGGTCTAATTGTTGTGGTGGCAAGTAAGCTAAGTTGGCTTTCATCAATTTCGGAATATTTCTTATCTTTATAATTTTCGGGCTTCTCAAACAATTCCTTGAAGTACTCACCAAGCGTACTATAAATCGGATTAAAGTATAAACCGAGGAGCCATTGTAACAAGTGATAGATGTTACTTGGTGATTTCGGATTCGGAGGAATGTAGTAGTGAGAGACGTAGTAATATCTGCCAAGATGGGTGTTGAGCTGTCTAATGACACCATGTTTATCTTTCTTCTCCTTGTTGTCGTCATCGTCGCTGACGAGTTGATATGTTTTATCACCTTTTCCAGTATTATGTTTGTAGACAAGGAGATCACTGTAAATGTTCTCACCGGTGAAACCCTTCTTATTACGTAACTCACCGTCCTGGGTGGTTGGACTAGAGGCAACATCGTAGCCTAGTCGTTGGAAGGCTTTTCCTAGGCCATTCGATAAATTGATTTGCATACCGCTACCACTCTTAATACATCCCTTCCGCAACCCTTTCAGCCCACTATTCACCGTCTCCAGTATGGTCAGGCAGACCTTGGCGCAGTTGCGGCCCTCGGTGGAAAGGACTTGTTCGGTGGGTTGTTCAGTAGACTTGGTTACTAAGTCACCTACAAAGTGTTTACCGCTATAAGCGTTAACGTACGCGTGGGAGAGTTCAGTGGTGAGGCCGACATGCCACTCTTAAAGATGTTCAGCAGCTCGGGATTCCTTCCCTCGCCGAACGTTTTAGCGCTTAAGGCGCCTACCGACACTGTGAGCTCATGTACTTTCTCTCTAAAGGTGTGGTCAAAGTCATATGTTTTAAGTTTAGTATTTATTAAGTGACCAAGCAAGGCGTTGAGAACACTTCTGATGTTCTCAACCATAGCAGCATGAGGACCTGTAGACTGAGAATGCAATGTACGTACAAGTCGGGAGTTCTTTGGTGTCAATTCTTCATCAAAATATTCAAACAGACCCTCAAAACAAATTACAGCTTGTACAGCCAACTCTGATAGTTTCATGCCATCTTTTAAAGGATGCGACCTACTCAGGAAATTTTCAAACATCCCCTCTCTTAATATCGTCAAAAAACCCTTCACCCCTGTTGATTTATCCTCCCTGATTATCTCTTCTATCTTCTCCAACTGCTCCGTGACGACGCTCTGCAGCTGCGTGAGCTCGGCCTGCCTCTGCTTCGCGAAGAGGGATTGGACTTGGGCTGTGAGGGTGGAGAAGGCGGAGGAGACTTTGGCGAGGAGTGTCGTTCTAAGCAGGGAGAGGGATTGGCTTGCACTTTGCCTGGCCTTTCCAAAGCATCTTCCAGCGATATGATAGCCCTATTTAGTTCTTCGTCTGCTGTTTCGACTGACTCTCCAATGGCTCCAATTTCGCTCTGAAGTTTTTTAATCTTGTAACTCCAACATAAGGTCTTCGGCATCTTTTTGCTTCTTCTTAATTCGGCCGTCTTGCTCATCTTTCCAAATGTTATTGAGCTCACCGAGATTCGTCTCGATTTCTTTAATCTTCTCTTGAATTGCACCCCCATCGTCTGCCATTTTACCTAGCAACCCCTCAAGCTGCGTAATTGCTGCACTCACCTTCTGCAACGCTGCGTCGATCTTTGCGCCGTGATCGGTATTCGAGTCATCGCCGTTATCTCCATCAGTAAATTGATTGCCGATATCCTTGACATTATCGATGGCCGTCTGCAGGTTGGTTTTGATTTTTGATTTCTCAATGAAGGACTTTAGTTCCGTGGAAAGACGACTAATGTTATTTACTATGGACATAGCAATGCCTTTCACAGCGGCTGTGAGATGTTTATCATCGGAGAGTGGCATTAAAGCGTGTTGTGACATACCCAAGTGGAGCCCAATCACCTGTACTGCAACTCCAAGTGATGAACCATCGCTAAAATTTCACTTCCGTTGTCCGCAAATCTCTTGAACTTTTCAGCAATGGTTTCTATTTTTGCACCTTTCAGGTACTTATCTGCAACAATTTGAATTTCGCTCGCAATTAAATCTGGAAGCGTGGATGTAATGGCCTCTTGCACCGCCTTAGCCTTAGGTGTATTTCCACCTTCAATAGCATCCAGATTGCCCTTGTTATAATTCTGTCTGACGTACTGATAAATATTGTTATACACAGCGCCACCTTCTTCTTCTCCAATCTCTCACCCAAGTACTCAAAACATCCTTCTCAAAAGCCTCCTCACCAAACCCCTTGGCGTACTTCAGTATGCCGTCTACGACATCCTGTAGACTTGAATTCCCACCATTTTTACGGGTCAAACCATCAACAAACCCCTTCATCTCTCTTTCAGCGCATCCCATTCTTGATATATAGTAGCTTGTAGTCCTGCATTTTTCTTCCCAACGTCTGTTTGAATCTCCCTAAACTGCACCTTCGCCTTCTGAACCAATCCGTCAAGGACCCTTTGTTTAAATCTAACTGTGAATAAAGATTTTCCACTGATTCGCGTATACTATCGAAATGACCAGCAATAATGTGCTTATAATTATCGTCAAAATCGTTCCCATCTCTTTACCAAGCAATCTGTCAACATCATCCTTAGCAGCTTTAACAGCGTTCCTTAGCAACTTGAACTGTTGCTCTTTCTTACTATATAACGTTTGAACATTCTTTTGATACCCATAAATCCACTATTCAGAGTATTCTGAAGATTTCTCGATTGATTATCAATCGACTGTAAAATACTTCTCTGTTTCTCCTTCAACCCCTCGTCCACCACTTGCGCCTGGATCCTAACATTTGGATTCTCGGCAACGTTTTAAATGTCTCCGCCGCCTGCAAAACCAATTTAATTGGACATTTTAACTTACCTCGTAAGTCTTCATCAAGTCTTTTTAAAGGCTTCTTCAGATGCCTTGACATACATCCTGTAGGTGGAGGATTTTGAGGACACTTCCTTTAGTTGAGTCTGAAGATTTTTATCATTTACAGTAGTTAAATACGTTCTCAGATCTTGAAACGGAGTGTGCAGATTGCTTAAAGGATCTTTAAAACTATTAAGACGTAAATCCTTTTTACTCATACCCCTGCAGCCCCGCCTGCACAATCCCAATGGCATCGCGAAATCCCTCAACACCAGAGCCCTTACCTATTTTATTTTCCAAGTCACTAATTGTACTTGTAATATCAGGAAAATAATGATTTAAAAGTGTTTGACTGCCTTTAAGGCATTGAGGAGAAACGCCATCACCCCGTCGCAGAGCCTGTCGAGGTCAGAGTACACGATGCCGGAGCCATCGTAGCCTTTGGAACCTTCA